GTCCGCGGCTCCGCAAGCTGGCGCCTGAACAGGGACCTGCATAGAAGAATAACACGGACGGAGCGGCGGACCCAGAGAAAACAGCAAACACTGAGGAATTCGAGAACGGACCCAGAGAAACACCAAATACAGCAGTGTCCGGGGTCCACGAGCTGAGACGGAGAGGCGCCGGCCCCGGCAGCCCCGGGAGAGTACGCGGAGAGAAACCGGCTGGAGCGGCCCCGAGAGCCAGCGGAGCAGCCCCGAGAGCGGAGGCGGAGCGGCCCCGAGAGTGGGCACAGAGCGGCCCCGAGAGCGGAAGCAGAGTGGTCCCGGAAGCAGGCGCGGAGCGGCCCCGAGAGCGGGCGTGGAGCGGCACCGGAACTGAAGCGGTAAGGAGCCGACTGCGGCAGCCCCAGGGGCGGACGCGAAGCGAACGCAGAGTGGCCCCCTGAAGCGGAAGCGGGGAGGTGCCGAAACTGACACAGAGGGGCGCTGGAAGATGACGCGGAAAGGCGCAGCATACAGCAGCAGCAGAAACGAACGCGGGGAAACATCAGAGACAGCAGCGCCTAGCCGATCAAGAACGATCAGACAGTGGGCCTCCGACGGGTCGTTCCAAGGATCTGAACCGAGATAGAGGGTCGCTCTCCGCAAGGGCTGCTGGCAAGAGCTGCAACTGGTGCCTTAATCACAGAGCATCAGCAAGATATCAAAGTAAGGGGGTATTTTTGTGCCTTAATCAAGGAGCACAGGCCGGCGGGAGTATTTTTGTGCCTTAATCAGGGAGCACAGGCCGGCGGGAGTATTTCTGTGCCTTAAACAAGGAGCACAGGCCGGCAGGAGTATTTTTGTGCCTTAGTCAAGGAGCACAGACTGGCGGGAGTATTTTTGTGCCTTAAACAAGGGGCACAGGCTGGTGGGAGTATTTTTGTGCCTTAGTCAAGGAGCAAAGGGCCGACGGTGCCTTAATCAGGGGTGGGTCGGCAGTAACGGTACTGTGCCTTATCCAAGGAGCACAGGACCGGAGGTGCCTTAACCAAGGAGCACCAGGTTGACGAGATGGAACAGGAGGTAGCCCTGGCTTTATTACAGCACTTTTTAGAAAAGCGGGGAGTGGATTGTATAAAATGACTCGTGGGTTTAGTAACATTAGGACGGGTCAAAGAATGTTTTCAAGATCCTAATTCTCTTTTTGATGTCGAGGAGTGGAGACGATTAGGTGATATTTTATGGGATATGGTAATTGACGAGGATAAAGCTACAAGGAAAATGATGAAACCGTGGCAGGACGTGGTGAATAATATTAAGCGGTATCAGCTTGAAAAGAACCTTGCAGCTGTGGTAACCACAAAGTTGGGGGGAGAAAGTTCCACTGTTGCCCCAGAAAGTGATGCATCCGGACCTATGCCCTTTGACAGTGATCGTATTCCTGTACCATCCACAGCAGTGCCGGTTTCAGTTAACACAAGTAGGGGCAGTCCGGAGGCCAGCCCCCCCCAGTGCCCTTACAGTCATGCCCCCCCACACCCCCCCCACCTCAGAGGCGAAGGAGCAGAGGGACGATGGCCCCTCGCTAATATTTAGCCAACAGGAGTGGCACGAAGTAGGTGATTTATTGTGGGACGAGACCATCACTGGAGGCAATAAAGGCAGTGAAGCACGACAGCAAGGGCTGGTCTGGCGAACGCCCGTAAAAGCCCTGGGGGAGATGCCAGCAGAACAGAAAGTAGCTGCTGCTGCCATGGCGGCTGTCGGCGCTGTACCATCCCCGCCGGTCCCTGCCGAAACCAACCGCCCGTCCCGATCAGCCACCTTCTTCGGGGTTAATCAGCAGCTCCGCTCTATTAAGGGCACGGCACCAAGTGTTCCTGTTTGCTCCATCCGCGCAAGAAGCGGCAGAGAAATCAGGCGGCGCGGGGGGACAGGGGGGAGCGGCTGCCGCCCGAACCTCTGCCCCCCCCCCCCCCCTTCGGATGGTTCCGCCCCTGACGGCGCGTCAGCGTCTGAGTCGGAGAGAAAAGCGGCGGCTGTGTCCGAATTAAAGCACCAGGGTCACACACCGGTAAGGGACAGGGACAGAGTCCGGGAGCTTGACAGAAAATTACAGAAGTTGAGCTACAGAGCAGAACTCTGCATTTACAATGACAAGAAGAGGAAGCGCTGCCGGCAGCCCCCCCACACCCACTCCCGTCACCCTCACCAGAACCAGCTCCGCTTTTAGCTCAGCCCCGATGGAGTGGGGGGATTCGGGGTGCCTTGTTAGAAGGGGACTGGCATGCTGCTGGGGCGTTGGCCTGCCCGGTAGTGACAACGGATGGGGGACACCCGGGAACACAGGATCACAAGATTCTCCTCAGGGGGTCTGGAGACTCCTTACGAACTTTAGAACTCTGAACTGTCATCTGGGTGTTTCAAGATCAACACTGGTATCAAGAACTTGTTCATGTAGTATCAGATTAATTGTATGTTTTGGGTTCAGTGCAATGTTTAGAACATAGCATGGTGAAACCTGTACGAAATTCTGTATTGCATACTCTGTGGTTACAATTGCTGACACTTTTTGAACTGTAAGGGTGGTTTTCCTGCTACATAAGACTGCATAAGATTGGAACATGGACTGACAGACTGGTTACGAGACTTGGGAATTTGGAAAATGGACGGATGATGGTTGAAAATCTACAAAACTTGGAAATTACTGGCTGTCTGAAAGCTTTGTTGATGCATGGACTGGTAATGCTGATTGTCATTATGATTGTCATGATGGTATTGGGGTCTGTGTGGAAATGCTTTATGAATGCTATGATTCAAACATGAAAAGGAGTCTGGATTGTCCAAAAAAGAAAAAGGGGGAAAAGCTGGTAGGAATTTTTTTGGGGGGTATCAGGGTCATGCACTGATCCTACAGGGTTTGGACAATCCAGGCTGGGTCTCTGAGCAGAAAACTGCCCCGTGGTAATCCTGCCCTTGAGGTCACCTGGAAGGGCAAGAAGGAGGAAGTCAAGCGAGTGCTTCCTCCCTGTTTGAATGCCTGGATACACTAACCACAAAGTAGATTTAGTTTGTTCACGCGTGCTAACGGTGCAGACCTATCACAGCACTTCTGGGTGCGTGATAAGTGCCTTTAGCCAATAGATTGTAAGCCTGCATGCTTAAGTTGTGCCTTCTCATGTATTAAGAAAATCTTTGAACATACGTTGGGGCAGGCTCTGCTCATACAAAAAGAAAAAGGGGGAATTGTTGGAGAATGGCTCAGAGACAAGGGTCCTGAGCCCACCGAGCAGTTGTACGATCAGAGCCTGTTCTAAGGGCTGATGCTGCCTCGCTGATGCTGGGCCTCACTAGGGTTTGCCCGCAGCTGCCGATACATGAGGAATGTCAAGGACGCTTCGGCCTTGTGTACCGTGGTGTGTCGAAAACAGGTTAAGAGGAATTAGAAATAGTGGTCTGAGAAACCTAGTGTTATGGTAACGATGGTCTGAGAAACCCAGTGTTATGGTAACGGTGGTCTGAGAAACATTTTGTTACGGTACTGTTGTGTATCGAAAACAAGTCAAGAGGAATTAGAAATAGTGGCATGAGAAACTTAGTGTTATGAGCAGCTTGTGCTGTTTGCTGACTGCAAGTAGGTGGACCGTGCGAATACAACCTTTAGAGCTTAAGCCAATCAGCTAGTGACTAGTAGGCATAATAGTGTTGTCTGTATAAATATATGTACCCTGACCAATAAACACACACATGTAGATTGATGCTCTATCACCCACATTGAACCCGTCTCAGCGTGTCGTTCGTCCACGGCTCCGCACTTTACCTGCTTCTGTCCTTCTCTGTTACGAAGGGCTTTCATCTGCAGTGAGGGCAACACAAGGAACGGCTCCCTTGCAGGCTGTGGTATCTGCTATCACTGAAACCTCTCACAAGAGTCCTTTATAAAACTGGAAAGAAAGCCAAGGCAGTTCATAATATATAGAGAATAGCAAAGCCCTTACCTAAATGAATGAATGAGTGAATGTCTTGTTACGGTAAATACAAACTACTTGAATACTGAATGCTTGCCCTGAACACAACTCCAATAGAAACATTTGATTTTACTGCTAACAGTACTTATCTCAAAAAATCAAAAGGCAGCCAGCATTGTTGGAAACTGGAACCTTACAGATGTCTAAATATACTGCCTTATGGTAACTGCAGAACCAAGATTATTATTTTTCTCCTTTTTTCTGACTGCTTTTCAAGTTGTGAGTGGGCGTATCTTAATTAATCCAATAATGATTTTTGAGATAGTGATTGATGTAGTTTAAACCTGGCCGGCAGCCAAGCACCACACAGCTGCTCACTCACCCTCCCCTCCCTCGGGGGTGAGGGAGAGAAATGGCAGGGTAAAGCTAAAGAGACTCGTAGGTTGAGATAAAAACAGTGTAATTTTTTTTTTTTTTTCAGTAAAATACAAAGGGGTAATGCACAATGTGATTGCTCACCACCTGCCCACTGATGCCCAGCCCATTCCCAGCCAGTGATCCCAGAGAAGTGAAGATCCCAAAACTGCAATCCCAGAAGCGAGAGCCCTCCCTTCCCGACCACCCCTCCTCTATACACCGAGCACGACATTACATGATGGGGATTATTTCACTGGCTAATTTGTGTCCGGTGCTCTTGCTCTGCTCCCTCCCAGCTTCTTGTGCACCCACGCACAGGCAGGACATGGGGAGTTGGAGAGTCTTAGAGCTCTCAGCAACAACTGAAAACATCAGTGTATTAGCAAGATTCTTCTCCTACCACACCCATTACTGAATCCAAAGCACAGCACTACTCCAGCTGCTAAGAAGGAAAATGAACTCTATCCCAGCCAAAACCAGGACAGTATCCACCCCTTATTCCATCCCATTTATGTTATGCTCAGGTTCCATGTTTCCCAGTACGTTCTAAGGAATCACCATCCCATTTCCTGGTTTTTGAGGTATACACACAGATATCATTCCCTTAGGCTCTAGGCCATCCCTCTAACATGTATAGTGAGTTCATATAGTCCATAAGTTTGGGGTCCACTGTCATGACAGTCTTTTAAGTCAGGCGGGGTGATGTGCTGTTGGTTCGGTGGGTGGAGCGGGTGGTCTTGGGCACAGCAGGAGGAGGGCACGTAGCCTCTGCTACATCTGGAGCTCCTAGCAGCTGTATCTGGTGTGGTCCATGCTCACAGATTGCGGGCTGAAGATGTTGATCTCAAGGAAGTTGCTGGGCACCAATTCAGTCCTGAATCTATCAAAGTTCATTTCTCATTAACCTGGGTGATCCTTAATCTGATGTCGTTAGTATAATATGTACCAACCGTAGTGATGACCATCTTCAATAACAGGGTTATTTAGCAATTAACATCATACAGTTCAATTCATCAGCTATTTTTACCCAAAACCAAATCCCCTTGAGGCACACATTTGAATTCCCCGTCCTTTTGCATTACCCACCAACTGCACCCGGGTCCTTGGGCAAAAATAATCCCACGCATGAGTTTACCTTTACCAGAGGCAGGAATAACCCAGACTGTCTCCCCCAGCATAATTTTAATGTGCCCTATGGGGACTTTATCTCCATCTACAGTACGTAGGAGGTTTGACTGGGCAGGTCTATCCTGGTTGGCAGATTCTCTAGTATCTGAAATCCTGTTCACCTAAGGCCTCTGATTTTGGTGCACTAAAATGCCAGGTGTTTAGTCTAATGACTTTTAATTGTACAAGGAATCACTAGGCGTTCCTCCACAGTAACTGAATTACTGAATTCTAGTTATCTTGAAAGAAACGCTATGGGTTCAGCTTGTGTTCTCGTTTCACTGCTAAAAAAAAATTGAAACTAAGCAAAACAATTCAACAAAAAGCTGTGTAAACCACATCCTGTCGATGTTCCCCACCCTGCAGCCCTTTACTCAGCAGCCTTTTCACTTGTGTGATGAAAGGCACACGCAGACCCACAGAACACACGGTGGGAGAGCACACTCACCAAAAAATACTGACATATCCCACAGGAGTATCTTGAATACCGACTTTCTGAAAAAGGAGAACATTTTGTATCCGTTGCCTAATCACCACCGGTAGAATGTTTTAGGTGACATGAACATGTTTGAATGGCTCAAACACATTCAGTGCCACTGCAGGCAGGACACCTTACCATCTACTGAGGGCCTCTGCGGCCCTGGGAGGGCAAGAAGCCGAAAAGGCTGGCAGCACTGAAGGCTCATTTCCCTGTCATTAGACCCTGAAAGCAGTTAGCTTTCCCAGGGAAATAACATGACTTCTCTTGCATTTAATATTTAAAATGTGATTTAAATGTTAATAATTAATGTCAGAATACTTTTAATTTCTATCAGTGAAAGCATATGCTGCAGTCTATTCCATTTCCAGTGGGAAGGAAACTGTGGGCGCTGTAGTCTTTTGTTATTAAAGCATTACAGTAGCAGTGTGAGTCAGTAGAAATGTGAATTTGTCACAATTTCCTTGTCAGATAATATTTACAGTGTTTCAGAGTGTATGTATGTGATCAGCATTTTGCACCCACTTGGAAATTGTATCTGGACATCTCCTTTCACGGTTTGAGTTCACACAGGCCTGGTTCCTTCAGTGCTGGTGAGGTATGAAGCCTAATCCAGCTGCAGCACACTGCTAGTGTCACGGGTCTGTCCCATTTACTGTTCACAGTCACACTAGCAACTTCTGCAATGTTTGTTCTTTATGATAGCTATGCCATTGCAATTCAGAGTATAAGAAAGCCTTTGGGCAGACCAAGAGTGCCAAGATCTTTAGTTTATGCTGGTCATCATTGTTTCTCAAAAAACATTGAGACATATCAAAGCAGTATCCTAGAAAAGTAGTACACGGGAGGAAGGAAGGTGAAGGAAGACACATCGGTAAAGAAAGTCACAAAGAGCCGGGGCAAACGTCCTACACTACATCATGCATTGGCTTTCCCCTGCTCCCTCCCTTTTCTGAAATCCAGTGGAGCTGAAAACAGTATGCACATCCACCAGAAGAACAGAAAAGCTGACACAAGAAAAAAAGAATAAAGTAAAAAAAGCCCTGCACAGATAAAGCCACCAGAAAATAATTATCTGAAAGTCCCACAGCTTTTAGAAACACTTAGCAATTTTAATATATCATAAAAGAAACTGGCAAAAAAACAATTCAAAGAGCATAAACGAAAAAAAAGAACTACTCATCTAGCACTATCATCCAAAGTGAAACAAAAATGTTCCCGCTAACAGCCCAATTTGCCGCTTCCCGCCCCCCCGCCCCCAGGAGACACCCCCCCCCCCGCCCAAGGGGCTCGCTCCCCTCACCGCCACCCGCCCCGCCCCGCCCCGCCCCGCCCCGCCCCGCCCCGCCCCGCCCCGCCCCGCCCCGCCCCGCCCCGCCCCGCCCCGCCCCGCCCCTCTCTCTCCCGCGCACCGCGCCTGCGCCGGAGGGGCCAGAGCCGGCGCGCGACCGCCGGGCTGCAGGACCGCGATCGGCGCGCAGAGCGCCCGGCGGCACCGCGCACGGGGGGGGGGCGGCGGCTCCTGACCGGGAGGAAGCGACGGGCGAGGCGGCGCCGCTCCGCAAGCACCGCCGCGTCACGGTGCCGGTAACCGCGGAGGCAGCAGCGATCGCGGCAGAGGGCGCCCCCACCGCGCCTGCGCGGCCCCGGGGCTGCAGGACCGCATTTTCGGGGAGCAGCCGGGAGCCCGCAGGAAGACACCCAAAACCGGCACCAAAACTGCACCTCGAGCCGCGCTGCGGGGGCCGCGGCGGTAGAGAGGGCTGCGCCGGGCCACGCACCGCAGAGAGCAGCGCAGCTGTCCGGCGGCCGGGCCCGCGAAAACTACAGCTCCCGGCATGCCCTGGGGCAAGCACAGCATGGCGCCCGCCGCCCAGTGCCGGCAGACTGCAGCTCCCGGCATGCCCTGGGGCAAGCACAGCATGGCCCCCGCCGTCCAGTGCCGGCAGACTACAGCTCCCGGCATGCCCTGGGGCAAGCACAGCATGGCGCCCGCCGTCCAGTGCCGGCAGACTACAGCTCCCGGCATGCCCCGGGAGGCAGCTCGCCCTGCGCTCTCCCCCTGCCGGGACACAGGGCAGAACTCTCCCAGAGCTCCGAGGGTGCCACCGGGGGTGCCACGGCCAGGCGATCCGTAAGGCTTCAGGTAGTTGTTGCATAATTTTTGAAATGAAATGTGTTCCTCTGCCCAAGTCTGTTCTTTCTATGAATGCATATCTGGGGATAATGTTTTCCAATAACACCTTGGATACCATGGTTGCCATTGCCCTTGGTGTGGGGGATTGCTTCCACCCAGTGAGTTAAGTGAGCCACTAATACCAACAAATACTTCCACCCTTGTATTCGAGGTAGCTCTGTTAAGTCTACCTGGAGGCTTTGTATGGCTAGCTCCTGTTCCCCAGCCACCTTTTTCTCATTACCTTTTTGTTCACTTTTTGACAAATCAGACATCGATCAACTAGTTGTTTAGCCTCCGTATATATTCCTATACACCCATATTGTCTAAGAAAATGATCACAAAGTGATTGGGTTCCCCAATGTATTTTCTGATGTATTAATGACAGAATTTCTCATGATAATGTTTTATTTAACATCTACTTTCCATCTGGTAAAGTCCATTTTCCTTCTGGATCTTTTCCCCCACTATTTCTAAGTATAACCTTCTCTTGTTCTGTGAAATTTGGGGTTAAATTCTCATAATCCCCTGTTGTTATTACCAATAAAACTACTGATGATAATTCTGTAGCTGCTTCTCTGGCTACTTAATCTGCTAAATTATTCCCCCTTATTTCCATCGATGCTCCCCTCTGATGTCCTTTCACATGCACAACTGCAATTTCTGTAGGGAGCTTCAGGGCTTCTAAAACTTCTCTGATCAGCTGCTCGTGTACTAGCTCCTTCCCTTTTGTATTTATAAGCCCTCTTCCTTCCCATATTTTTCCAAATGTGTGGACCACTCCAAATGCATACTTTGAGTCTGTGTACACTGTCCCTTCCTTATCTCTCAAATATACCAATGCCTGTTTTAGGGCATAGAGTTCACAGGCTTGTGCTGACCACCCAGCAGGTAATTTCCCCTTTTCAAACACTTCCATCTTCTGCCCCTCGATAATTGCATAACCCAATATTCTTTTCCCTTCTAGGCATCGAGAGGACCCATCAATAAATAGTTTTTCCCTATAGGGACAAAGGTTCATCTAACAGATCTTCTCTTATTTTCGTTTGATAACTTATAAAATCCACACAGTGATGCTCTCGGTTCCTGAATATCCTCCCTGATTCTCCTCCCATAATTCTAGTAATTTAACCACCAGTTTTCCTTCATCCAGCACCACACCTATTCCTAATTGCACTTGTAAATCTCTACCTAGCAAATTACATCCTACCCCTGGCATTAACAACAGATCATTAACAGCATATTGATCTTCCCCTTGTATTAACACATTCTTTATAACTGGGACTGAAAACCCTTTGCCTTTGGCCCATACAGCCCAGGCTGTATCTTTTACATAATCTTCCTCCTGGGGACTTAATTTCAAATTTATCAAGGGCTCTTCTGTTGGTATACCCCCCAGGAGGTAGAGCTCCTGACACCCCTAGTGATTACCACCCTCATCCTGTTGGGTTAAATAATTATGTACTGGATGGTAATGCATAATCAGCTGATGTATATGAGCTAGTTTGCTGCTGCTGGGAGCAATTTCCCTGAAATTATGTGTGATTATGTGTGAGAAGGTACAATTAGAGAGGGGGAAACCTGGGAGAAAGCTCTCTGAAGTCCTCTTGGTATACAGAAGGAGCTTGCTATTTCACCTCCTGTTTAGGTTTTAGTCTAGGAAGGGCGTTCAGCTTGTCACTCAACAACTTGTCAGCAATGTGTCTTATGACTAGAGACTTTGCAGTCTTTAAAATTCATGGTGATACTTTGCTAGACGTATCTGGGAACCACCTGTTTTTTGGCTCTCAGTATGTTACTTGAAACTTCTCCTTGAATTCCAGTGTCTGCAAGCTGCTTGCTCTGAAGAGGTTGCTCCTGTGATAGGAATTGCTAATGTCCAAAAGAACTGAATGCTGCTCAAGTCACCCTGGCCCTGGAGTGTAACTGCAGTAATTGAAGCGTTTGAACTCTTAAACAACTGAGAGGGGAAGTCAGGTTTCTTGGAGTGAGTGTGAGTGCTGAACAAGGCAGCTGCCTGTGTTGAGTGCTTAGGAGGGATTTAGAATGACAGTGTATCTCCGGCGATGTTTTCAAGCCCTGCCACTACCCGCAGCTTAACTGTCCCTTATATCCTGTGCTAAGCAGGATATAAGAAGGTTGTGAACTGTTCAGCCTGTGTCCTGGATACATAGGTGATTCAGCGTGGTTACATTTGGAAATACAGTTTTGTAACAGTTCAACATATAAAGACTGGAAGGGGGTGTGGGGAGGAGGGGAGCACCCAAACATCCTTTGTTTTGCAACAGCTGCAGAAGTGACAGTCCTGCAACTGTCATCCTAAAAGCTGAGCGTATTAAAAGGCACATATAAGTTTTTACTACATCTTTGAAAAACCTTACAGTTCATGAAAAGCAGGGTGTCCGGGGTTTTGTGTACTGGAGGTAGGTAATACTGTTTTAATTGCTTCAAGTATAATTCATAAGCTAGAATGGTACAAATCAAGGTTTTGACGGTAAGAATGGTTGCTGAGGGTTTTATGGCTTGTGAGATGATTGTGTTTCTGTGTATGAATGAGGTTGAAGGGCTGGAAGTATATTTAAGTAGAGAAATGAGCAACAGGGAGCTGCAGACTTTTTTTTTTCCTAGATTAAAACCAGGGTTGAGGGTTTGCTTAAACTCAGCTGGTGAACTATCAAGTTTAAATGTTTGGTTGACTTCTTTACAGACTGACCTTAGCCATCAAGACAGTGTGAGCCAAGGGAGCAGTCCCTGGGTTAGGTGCTGGAAAGCACCTCTGACATTTAGCACTGAATCAATGAAGCATTTCCAAGAGCTGGGGAAAGTTACTGGGTCTCCAGTTCTTCTTCCCTCTTTGGTGTAAGGAAGTGCTTGGTTTCTGCTATCATGGTCCTTTTCCTCCTGGCTATTTTTATTGCCACCCCCTCTCCCTCCCTGTGCCATTCACCTTCTACCTGATAAGCGGGTTATACCAGCTGGGCAGGAAGTAGCTGACTTTTGCAGTATTTCTGTCAATTTAAGTCATGCCGGCTGTGAATGTGATGCTCTGTAAGCCTGGGGATGGCAAGTTTGTCATGTCTTCAGGAGTAACCTTCTGCTTGCCATGCCAGTAACTTTCTAGGAGCTTCTTTCCAGGCAAGGAATGAAATACCATTTTCTTAATTTGCTCTTTTCCTGATTTTTTTTTTTTTTTTAAGAGGTAGAAAAACAAACATTTAAAGGAAATCACTGTGTAGATATTTACAGCTTTTTTTTGCTACGTGTATCAGACTTTGTTTTTACAGTGAAGTGGACTGCTGGTAGTCCACTGCATGACCTAGTTGGCAAGCTGCTGTAACAGGGCTTTGGTGCTTCAGTCTTCTGTGAAGCTTTATGTATGTCATTTTGAATGTCTGATTATGTACTGCAGTTTATCTCATCATGTCAAAAGTCAGCACTTTGCTATAATGCAGCAATGGGTAAACTAATCAGCTGACTTTTTTGGTTTTGACTTGAAGCTATCTGTCCTAATTTACAATTTAATTTAATTTAGGAAACAGCTAGTCCTGAAAATTGTCTCTCTCTGCTCTATTGACTAGGACTTTAATTCTTATGAGACTTCCACAAAGTAAGACTGGGGATGGGGTGGGAAGTCTGTTTTTGTTTCCCAGTGCTTGTAGAAGAAGGTTCAGGAACTGGACTAGGAATAGGCCATTTCAGAAAACAGATTTTCAGTACCACACTAGTCATAACTCTTTACATGTATGGGTTCTGTTTACTAAATTGTGGTTGAGTACGAGGTAGGAATTGCCATCTTACAATTTAGTTGTGGAGCTTGAAGGATTTCCCTAGGTTTTCAATCACTAGTTTTAAGCTGGATTATAGATAACCAAAACCTTCATGTATAGCACCGTGGATGGAGCTTTCAGGATACAAAGAAGTTTGTACAAGTAACTGTGGCAACTCAAAACAGTCTGTGAGAGTTTTCATCTAGCATTAAGAGCTCATGTTTTTATTAAGGAAGTTGTTCACCTCCATGAACTTTGCTAGTTTGTATGGCTTTAAAATAGAAGTATTCTCTGTCAAAACAGTTTTTCAAAAAATATTTGTGGAAGTTGTCACTTGGGGTACTGAATTAGGAAAATATATGTCCTATGTGAATGAGTAAATTATTAAATGGCCAAAGAGGTTCTTTAGGGTATAATTTCTAAGCCCTTTGCAAAGGGACAGTCCTCCTTATGGCTACAAGAGGATGAGATGGTGGAGGCAGCACCACTGTGTTAATAGCAGTGGTCAGTTCTTAACTGCTGCCAAAGGAAGAGCACTGTGCTGTCTCAGGGAATGTTTCAGATGTAATCTCAAGTAACATGCTTCAGTTTTCCATACTGGGCAGGGATATTTGTGGGTGTGGAAAACATAGGCATGGTTGGTGTCAAAATAGGATATGGTGTGATAAGTGTAATTGTTGTACCCTGTGTGGATCTGAAATGATGTGTGATCACTATAAGCTGTATAATAATTGGGATGAATGTT